CTTAGGAAAATTAATCGAAGTATTATTAGATTATGAATGAAGCATCTTCAGATGATAATTTGTCATTTTAATTTTCTTGTTCACCTTCACGTTGTAATATAATATATGAATTCAATGCATTCATATATTTCTTATTCCATCCTCTCTTAATCAACACAATCTAGCGAAAATAATATATTAAGTAAAAAATGGTAACAACATAGAGAAATTGAGAACTAACTTACCATCTTTCTCCTCATTGATGCAAGCCATGAGGAGCCTCAGAACACAATCATTTACATAGGTAGAAAATTTTTTTAAAAAAATTATGAAAGGAAGAGACATAAAATAAATTGTTAGACAGGAAAAATAAGAAAAAACGTCTAAAGACAAATAAAAATCACAATTATTAGCAATGACAAATGTAACAAAAATATAATAAGATTAATGATTAGTTGCAAAATATAAATACTTACGACGAACAATCCATGGTGAAAGGGGATATAAACATGCCAAATAAAAATATAGTTTGCCTGAGAAAAGAAGAGGAAAATCACTACGATTATGTTTTGATATGACAATAAATAATGCTCAAGGTCAAACTTTAAATTTTATCAAAATTTTCAGGACTGGAGTCAAAATAGTTAGTGAAACCTAAATAAGAGACTTTAGACCTTTTTAATATGATAGAACTTTAAATAAATTCTGAGAAGGCAAATAGGTTGAAAATTAATGTGGAAAACTAATCGTAAATGTAACTCATAATGATTTAAATTATTTTATTGATTACTATTGAATAAAACTAATTAAATAAGATAGAATATAGTTAATCTTTTAATTAATTAAAAAAACAAGATTTTCCATTGGAAGATTTATACAAAGATTTTTCATTTATCTACTAGTTCTTAATTATATAGTACAGAGAAATGTAATGAAATTCAAGAGGAGCTGACCAAAAGAGTGTCATAAACATAATTAAAATAACATTTTTTTTAGAAGAAAATTTTGATTCATTTTCCAAGTCACATTGAAATAAGCTATTAAAATAAATATTTAAATATATAATTTTAGATGTTATAAAACTTCGCGTAAATGTCATATTAAGTACTTAAACTCCTAGAAATATAGTTGATTTATTGTAAATTAATGTTAAATGATGTATTTTTTTTTCTTAAAGGATATGAACCATTATTTTGTATTGACCACTAAACTGTTCGATTTTCTGTAATCATCATCCACGAAGAAATTAATTAGTCACCTAATATCATTCACCAGAATTTCTATATTTAATTTATTGACTAATTTAATACAAGATATTCATGTACTATTAATCTATTGACTAATTTAATTCAACCATAATTTTTCAAATTCTTCCATTATGAGAATTATGATTATGATTTAAGCAATATCAATATGCTCATTTATCAAGAAAATAATAATTTACATTATTAAAGGGCTTAAGGACATAAAATCTACCATAATGTAATAAATTTATTTATATTTAATTAAATAATTAACCAAAATTTAATTTAGTAAAAAATAAAATGATAATTTAACTTTTAACTTTGGTGCTTCTCACTTATAATAATATATATATTTTATTCAAAAAACATGTATCACTTGTATTCATTCGCACTAATATCGTTTGAATTCAAAATTCTCGTACCATTTATATCCAAAGATAAGAGTCATTTGATACAAGCTAGATACACATATGTATCTCCTCAAAGCTACCTACTCAAGGAGATTTTGTAAGAAATTTTTTGTCTTGGTTTCATAACATGGTTCAAAACATGGCTTTTTAGGAATATGGAATCACATCCACTAGATTTAAATGCGCTGAATAATTGTACTTTCCTCGTATGCATTTGAGTACTCAAGGCCTCCTTTCTTTTGACGGGTATCGTCACGTGGCTTAATCCCCAATCACTCCTTAAGGAATAGGACACAATAATATAACGCACATCAGAGAAGAGAGATCCCCTTTATTATAAGACATGTCTCCGCTCATATTTTAAGAGATGGAGCAATTCTCACCCAACAACTCAAAACTAACCAATACAAAACCATGTGATTTGTCCTTGTTTGCGTACCTCGCTCGCACTAACCTAGCGCCCTGCCTACTCGTCTTTCACAGGCTTATTTGTACCCAACTACATTATGAAAGTCCCCTTGGTCAATCGTCACTCGACAACTCAAAGCTGATCGTCACAACCCGCATGCTAGCCTACTCTTCTTAGAAGTGACGAACCGTTTCTGAAAAAGCGAACTCAACCCTATAGTCGTCTTCTTTGTTTAAAAAATGCACAATAAAAAAAAATATTAATTAACTGGATAAAATTATAGCCCAAAAATCAAAAAATGTCAAAATAACTCTATAACAACATAAAATTTATATAATGTGATTTCTTATGTTGTTCATGTTTATATAAGATATGATTACAATATTATACCAATTAAATAATTCCCCAATTAAATAAATTGATTTCCTCATAACTAATACATATACTTATTCCACGTTCCAATCACAAAATAAGGTAATAGTTAATTTATGATGATTCTCTCTTCCAATGGCATATTCTTTCTTTTCCTTTTTTTTTTCCAAGGGCATTTTTAACACTGGTTTAGTGTAAATTAACTCCAATTCACCATATACTAAAAATAAAAAAAGTGTTGTTTCTTTCCTATTTTTTTTTTTCTCTTCAATAATATTTTTTTATTTATATGTTATTATTTCATAAAACTATCATTTTCTTTTCAGCTATTCACCTTATAAAATTCATATTGTTTTCTTACCTAAATATTAGTATTAATTTTTTTATACAAATATAATTTATAATACAATTAACTTTATAAAATATATACAAATTATATGTATAAAACTTAATTAATAAAATCATACACCAAATTTAAAATTAAAATTAGCTTTATAAAGATATTACATAAAAATAATTAGGCATTTTAAGAACGTATTTAAAATCTTCATCTATAACATGTCAAATTAAAAGTTCATATAATACAAATAATGAA